AAGGCTTTAAAATATTTTATTTTGCTCAAACGATTATTTTTATAAATATTAAGTTGACATAATAGTTACATTTGATCAACATCTATTATGTGTACAAAGGTAGAAGATGAATAAGTCGCTCGTTGATTCGTAAAGCTGACAAGGGTACTCGCTTTGATTTTGAAACTTTGACATCTCATTTTGAATCCTTTATGCTCGCCGGTGGACCATGTCAGGTAATTAGTAAGTAAACTTTGGCTTTACTATATCAAAGTATTATATTTTAGTTAATCATAATTTGAAAAAGTTAAAAATACAACAAATATTTTATAATTCACTCAGGGAGTACTTTAAACACGTTTGATTTTTTCAGGGCGGCGTGGTTGAACGCGTAAGCGATCCTGCGACGTCCCATTAAGAAGTTGGATGTTTTGTTGGGTTTTAGTGGGTAGTACTTACTTTTCTAGACTGTGCGTTCCCCATAACCTACAACATGACAGGCAGAAATCGTAACCTAACGAAAAAGCGTTATAAGACGTCCGGTGTAGTTTTGAAGTTATTGTAATGCGCTGATCACCAAACTTGTTTACATCACGTGTTAGTTAAATATGCTCGAGGTTCAGATTATACTCCCATTAAATAAAAACACATTGCATTGCAGTTTTTGTATTGCTAACTGTCTTTAGAAATTGCATCATGAACATAGATTATTTAGAATTAATCAATAATTTATGAATTTGATTACTATACAATTTTGTTACATTATTTTATTTAATTTACACTAATAAGTCAATAATTAAAACATAATTCTTACAAAAATCATGACAGTATAATTTCATCGCCACGATAATGTGAGAACGGTCAAACGCAATAACACAGTTTAACAGTGCGCATCAATTTACCGTCAATCAAATTAAAAAAAAGTAACTGTTTCACCGATTTTCCACTATTAGCATTGTATGTCAATCAACAACAAGTGTTATGTCAGTAGTTACTACTGACCCACTCGGGCGTAACATTAATTTGGTTTTATTATATTTTCATGCATATATATTACTTATTGTAATTTTACGACTTTTTAGTGTCCAACTTTTGTATAAAAAAAGGACACTAAGTATGTATGTAAACAACTCTACAAAGGTATCAACTACTTATAGTTCGGATGATAATACAAAAAAAAGCTCTTTAGCTCTATTAGTTGAATTCATTATTATTATTTTTTTAGAAAAAAATTGACAAAACAAGATTTATTGAGTGATCAAAATTTACTTATATCAAAATATATACGAAAATTAAGTACATTAAAAGCTTGAGTAATAGTATAAAAACATATTTTAAAAGAAAACAAAATCTAAAGAGCATTCCCAAGAAGGGTTGACGTCAGGCAGGGCCGCCTGCCGTGGTCGTAAAACTTTTGCCAAATCCTATCTACAGTACAGAAGATGTACTGCGCCGACCCCAAGTGATTGGGAAATGGGCAGGGAGAAGAAGAAGAAGAAGAATTCATTATTGAAGCTGATGCATAGTGAATCTGTTCGATATAATCTAGTAGACAAAAGAAGGAATTTTGGGTATATTTGTATTACTTTTATTAATTAAATTTGGTAACTGCGATCTCTTAGTTATAATTGTTTGTTTTTTCTCTAACTTGTTATACAAAAAAAAGCAGTCATGAGGTCTGCCGACAGAATGAGAACTTAAAACTTAAAACTATAAACAAACAGTTGTTATTTTTGGATATTCACATTAATTGTTTGATTTTAAATTAAAAGTTGTAAATTAAAACTGTTTACATTTATCTAGTTTTGACATCTATCGGCACTCTGAGTGTTAGCGTTAACACGTCACGTGACCATGTCGATGATGACTTACATGAATTTACTCTCCATCCAAACCTGTCTATACAAGTTTTCACTTCAAAAATACGTTCTTTTTAATATTAATGTATAGAAAATATGTAATTAAAAACTTAAAATCTTTTATTAATTAAAAAATATGTATAGAACACAAGAATCATTATACATATCAGTACGTAATTTATTTAACGAGCTTTATTGTTACTAGCTATATGTATTTCTCACGTTTTGTTCAAAATTAAGTGTATGTAAATTTAATGTGGTACGCTATTGTTGTTAACCTCAATTTTTTCCTTCCGTTGAACATTGAATTTGAAATTGTTCTATTGTAAATTAAAATTGTTTTTTATACTATAAAAATAAATTCTAAATAAATGACATACAAGAATAATGTAGATTGTTGGTATGTATCAACGCTTAACGTTTAAAACAATTTAATTAGCACTTACCAAACATCTAAAACTATAAAGCACCTTAATTTCGCGTTGTGATAAATAATAATCAAGTCAGTAATTACAATGTTCCTGCCCTCTGAACGGGGCGGCAGCTTCAATCTCAATTACTTAATAACTCAAGTGTATGAACTAAACTATCCTTAATTACTGCTTTACCCTACTTTTTGTTATTATAAAACTACAATTATTTTATATGAGAAAGAACTGTATCAACTGTTTTTGTACAAGTCTTAAAATATTCAATAATCTCTATTATTATTAATATTTTACTGACCGATTTAAGTTGCGCCAGAAAATCTCTCTAGGACTAGCTATGTGTGCAGAAGACATATATGATATGTATATCGCATAAGTGTATGCGCAGACACAAGTGCACTGTCTATTCCTTTAACACTCAAAGTCCGGACGTGGGGGTGGGACTGAGAATTTCTCGACAGAAAAACTCAGTAACTAATACTTAGCCCACCCCGGGACTCGAACCCTAAACCCTCGGATCTGCATCCGTACATACATACATGCTAGAATAACTTATGTTACATTCAATCAGTTGAGTTAATTAAAGTTGTTAATAATAATAATATTTCAAATCAAGACTTTGCAAAACATTAAACATTTGGACTTACTCTGTAAAGAAATGTAGTAACAAAATATTTATTTATATTCAAACGTTTAAACTAAGTACCTACGAGTAATTGATATATGTTAAACACTTCAAGTGTGACAGTTCCGATGGCCGAACATTAGTAAGCTGTCAAAAGGAGTTACGTAAGTATTTAGTATGGCATAAGATATGTAATAGGCAATAGCAGGTTGAATGGCTGGCACATGTCAAAATATTAATGATCGAATTCCTGCCGTTGATGTATCATCTCACTTAGGCTATTCTTGTTGGCTTAAATGAAATTATATGACAATTTTTATTAATTAACTAGCATTGCCCGCGGCTCCGCCCGCGTTCAGATGATTAAAAATCAAATTCTCAGGTTTTACACATTAGTATACTCTTACAATGCAGTTTTTGTATTTTTTCTCAGAAATGAGATATTTTCTCGTGGTAAAAAGTATCCTATATGTTGACCCGGATAACCAGCTATCATCATACTAAATTTCATCAAAATCTGTCCAGTGGTTTTCTCGTGATGCTTTAACAGACAGACAAACAGACAAAAATTTTAAAAACTATAATTTCCGACTCTGTATCTGATAATAATGTCTATTTCAATAAGATTTTCCAAAAAATATTTAATGCAGAGATTCGACTTAGTTACTATTTTATTATATGTATACATTAGAAAGGAGAAAGGATAGAGAAACTTTTTTGAAAAGCTTTTTAAATAATTTTATATATTTTTGCTATATTACAAATATAAATCAATGCTTTTGGATACATTATATGTTTTATATGCTGATTCTCAACGTTTCTTTTTATAAACCAGACCTGGCCGAGTATGACTAATAAAACAAGCGTATTGCTATCTCTATGGCAGCAAACAGTTCGAGCCAAATTATTCACCATTGCGACACAATATGTACGAATATAATATGATGCTATTCTGAATCATCATTTTGATGATGATAATTTAAAATTAATTCGGCGTTTACTAGTGTCAGATTTTCGTAAAATGCCTAAGGGGCTTGGACATAGACTAATGACTGATTTTATTCAAAATCATCCTCAATCAATGACTGTGAAGTACAGGAACTGAGTTATTGTTGTAAGTACCTAGTAATCGTTTGGTAAAAGACCTCTTTATATATATAATCTGTGCTATGAATTTTTTGACATTTATTCATCACATGAGTTACCCAATAATCCCAACAAAATAAATTATAAACTCACCAAAACTTATTTTTTTTCTCATACAGAAAATCATTAATATATGATGTGCTAGTACCGTAATTTCCATGAAACGTATTACGTAGTCAGTTACGTATGTAGATCTAGATAGATATAATTTAGATCAGTTAATAGGGAAGCGGTACATGGGTACGTGCGTCGTGGTCGCGCCCTAAGTGCTTGCAGGTTTAGTAATGCGCGCATGCCTTAACACTAGGCCTTTTTAGTCTGCGGTTGAGTTCGATTACATATCTGCCAGTCTGTGCTAATGATGCTTTGGCTTGCAGTTTAATTACGTAACTGATTGAACATTCCAAGTTTTCTGCTTATATAAACTGTAAAAATTACATAGATATATAGTTTCCAACGTAATTAATTAATATTTTTTTCCTGAGTGTATTGACTATATTAGGCAGACTTTGCCACAACAACCTCATAAGGTCACGTGTGCAGCGTTATTTATTGATGTGTGTACTCAATAAATAAGCTTTTGCAATAACCATGAAGCTGTTACAGATAAGAAACTAAGTCTATACTAATATTATAAAGAGGTAAACTTTGTGAGTTTGTGAGTTTGTGACGTTGTAGGTGGTAATCTCTGGATCTACTGAACCGATTTAGATGAAATTTGGTAAGAAGATAGTTTGAGACTCTGGAAAGGACATAGAGTACTTTTTATCCCGGAAATCATCCCTTATGGGGGTGAAAATGGGGATGAAAATTTGTTTTGGGAAGCAAGCTAGGGACGAACCCGAGCGAAGCGAGGTGAGTCACTAGTAACTTATAACGATTTTACAAACATAATACATGCCGAAAAAATAATGTTAATTACAGCTACAGTAACAAATATAACAAAACATCCAATCATCATTACGCACAAAGCTTTCCGAGAATTTTTATTCTTCCACAACTATTAGGGCCAATTTCTTTTATTTCACGGACATTATCTAACACTGTAATAAATGCAAATGAAGTGCAACTGCTTTCATAATAAAGCAATATCTATAATGGACTGGTCTTAGATAATAAAATAATAAATATAAATCAATTTACAATTTCCTTTTATATAACAACACAGATTTGGCATCAGATAGAGACTTTGGCGGTCTCGTCAGCCGATGTGAAGGTACATTGAATAAGAAAGTTTGTTCAATATTTAGAGCATGTCAGCGATGAAATGTATTACTAAAAACCAGTTTCACTTAAAAAAAACTATAACATTATATTTATTACTAATTAATTTTGTGTTTTATGTAAATTTAAATTAGAATTTAAAAATAACATAAAATTTGTTTTTAATTTACTTTCTGCCAATTATGGCGGGGATAAATCATTGGATCTATTTTGACATTTTGGGGGTAGCATTATATTAATTTTTACACTTAATTTTTTTACATTAAAAAAGTGTAGTGTGATTCCATCATATTTCTCATTAGAGATCCTTTATTTAGATATCCTTTTATCACAGGCACAAACATATTATTATAATCTCGCGATAGTTAAAAGTTTACTTACTGTCTGTGAGGTGATTGAAGGCGGTGACATCATCGTTAAGACGCTGCATTCGCTGCAACTTGGTGCTAAGGTCTCGTGTGTGCAGAAACAGGAACAATGTGCACGAGACCGCCACTAGCGCCACCAGCTCACTTGTGCTGCAAACAATAAACTAAACTGAGATAGTGTTACGTTTAGAAAAAAGAATAATTATAGTATCTACAAAATTTATACATATAATAAAATTGTAACTAAGCCGAAATATTAAATATTTTTTGGAAAATCTTATTGAAATAGACATTATTATTGATATAGAGGCCGAATCTCTAGTTATTAGAATTTTTGTCTGTCTGTCTGTTACCGCATTACGGGAAAAATACTGGTGGGATTTCGATGAAATTTGGTATGATGATAGCTGGTTATCCGGGTCAACATATAGGATACTTTTTACTGCGAGAAAATGTCATTTCTGAGAAAAAATACAAAAACTGCAATGTAAGAGTATACCAATATGTAAAACCTAAGAATTTGGTTTTTGGTCATCTGAACGCGGACGGAGCCGCGGGCAATGCTAGTATTATATAATAATTAAGGTTATTATTAAGATTTAACTTATGCAATTCAGGGCTTTAAGTACCCTTTTAATAGAAGACCTACTTATTTGTTAAGCAGAAAATTACCTTCTCTTTTTGAAATCGCCTATAATTAGCATAAGCTATATTCGGCTTTATGCTAGTATCAGAGTAGGCTGCACTGTAGGGTGGCACTATAATTTATTTTCTACTTCCATATATGTAATGTATGGTTGATCAGACCGGATCAAACACGTATGTAGAGAATATTGTATAGAAAGAAGTTAAAAGAGAATATTAAATACAAATAAGAAAAAAGTAGTTCCTGAGCTTAGAGCGTTCAAACAAATAAACAAACTTAAATTCTAGTTTCTTACACTTAGTGAAAAAAATATATCGGCCATCAACCATCAATTTAAATAATATACTTTTTGCGTTGTTTATAATATAAAACGGTAATAAAATTACTAATATGAGGCCTTTTTTTAAATCATTATCTTTTTAAATAAAATACCTATATATTTTGTTCATAAAAACTACAATAATTCATTTTAAATTTTGTTTTGTATAGGTATAAAATGAAGTATATGTATTTGTAATTTTCTTTATTGTAAATAAATTATATATATGAAAATAATTTGTAATTATCATTATTATATATATATATATATATATATATATAAATTATATATATATATATATATATATATATATATATATAATAATGATAGTTACAAATTATTTTCATTTATTATCTGTGTACAGAGAGTCAATATACTTATCTTATCCAAAACCAACGCAGATAGAATCAAAGTAATTTAATAGATTCTTGTCACAAGTAACAGTAAATAAAATAAAATTAATATGTAACGTAAGATTCCCAGTTTAGAATATGAAAAATGGCAGCATTTAGCTATCATAGATGCACATTGCATAACAGTTAGAACGTTACGATATTTTCTTTTCTATCTAATCCCTCCACTTACGCGGACACGCCGGCATTACAGTTAACAATAGATTTCTTAGAAATTTAATTAATTTCTTAGAAATTTACCTGGAGGTGATAATAATGTTATTATATAAATTTTATTTTCATATATTATTTTTCTTCATTATTATTATATATTTTTTCATATATTTTTTTTTCATATATATTCAAAGTCAAACACAGAGATGCCCTTGATAATTAATTCCGGTAAGTCGTCCAACAACAACAACAGACAAAAACTGCTGTTACATAAAGACTTTAATCAAATACTTTAATCGTTTAAAGATTAAGCGATTAATTTACATAATACAATAATGGGATACCGAGTGGCCATCCGCAATTACAACTTTGCTATGCCTTCGTAATGTGCTATTGATTTCACATAAATGCTATTTCCTCCCGTGTGATGTGTGATGTAATCACTTTGAGACGACACTAGCTCTGCTACTATCAGGAACATAATGTACTCATGGTTACTGTATTTACATAACAAAATTATGTAAATTTCTACCTGATGTTATATTAAAACAAAGTCGATACAGCTTTAAGCACTATTTTTCAGACTATATGTATGTGCTTAACATATGAAGGGTACAGGCAAAGAACAATGAATGGCCTAACGAATAGATTATGAGAAAAAAGTAATTTAAAGTTTAGAACTATAATATTTTTATTGAGATCATAGTATGGAGTAACTTTTTACTATGTACATTTTTGGACAATGCTCTTTCTCTACCAATAGGTATGTCATGGACATTCTCAGTTCTTTTCATTTTGGGCATAGATAAAAATATATTTTTAGCGACAACCGTTGAATATTTGTAAAAACTAGAGGTTGGGAATGCAATTACCATAGACGTGATTCATTACTAGTATTTGAAAAAAAAACAAAAATTGTGACATTTCCTGTTCTATGCATGTACCTACCCTTCATATCGTATCGAGTCAATAAGGCAGTAAACTTTTTTAATTAAATTAAAGTAAGATTTGTCGCCTTGTTTGCATTTTAAATAAACTAGAATTTTAATCTATACATATAATAAAATTGTAGCTAAGCCGAATTTGTACATTAAATATTTTTGGAAAATCTTATTGAAATAAATAAACATTACTTGTATTATCGATACAGAGGCCGAATCTATAGTTTTTAGAATTTTTGTCTGTCTGTCTGTTACCGCATCACAGAAAAACCACTGGAGGGATTTTGATGAAATTTGTATTGTGATATCTGGTTATCCGGGTCAACATATAGGATACTTTTTACCGCGGGAAAATGTCTCATTTCTGAGAAAAAAGACAAAAACTACAATGTAAGAGTATACTAATATGTAAAACCTAAGAATTTGGTTTTTGGTCATCTGAACGCGGGCGGAGCCGCGGGCAACGCTAGTTATTTTAATAAAAATGAAATCTTCCTTAAATTGATGATAGTACCATAAGACACTATTCTTCGTGATAAGACATAATTCTTCTATGCGGAAGAGTAAATTTGTATTGATTTTTGCTTATAAATATTATATGTATGTATATATGGTAAACGTTATATTACCAATTAATAAATATCTTGTAGTATTTTTCTATAGAAAATATAATTAATGAAGTTTCTAATTTTAAATTGATCTTAACTGAATTAAAACGTCGGGATCTAAAACAGAACTTGTTGTTAATTACAACTTTTATGGTTCGAGCTCCTAGTATTACGGATATCCATATTTTTATGCGAAGATCATGTATACGAGTATATAATTATGTGCGGCACGTATAAGCTTCATTGCACCCTTACGGTGCATCAATTCTTTAATAATACCTTGCATGACTTGATTTATTACATTTTCTTCATATAGACTTATTCGCATATTACCAAGATGCTTAAAGTAATCATTGCCTAACAATAATCTAACGGAATTTTATTGTTTCAGAGCGAACTTTATAAGTAAAACGTAAGTATATAATAATTTGAGTTTGTTTTATGCAATGGCTATATTTTCAGGTTAGGAAATGAATGCCCGATTTCACCAACATCCCATAAGCTACCACCTACGTATGGGATCCATGCTTAAAAGTTCCCTTAAACTAGCCCTTATATTAAATTTCGTTTTACCATCGTCACAACCCATATTTCTAATCCCTATATTTAGGTGGCATTTTAAAATTTAAGTGACCCCTAACTGTTGGTGAAACAGAAACTGTCCCCTTACAGCCCCCTAACCATGCTTAGGGGATCCCTTAAACTTAGGTGACGTTGGTGAAATCGGCCAGAAGACTTTTATTGGAGAGTGATATTATTTTGGACTCATTTAGACAGTGCTAGTATACTACGTGTCTTATATTACTATTCCTACTGCCTCGGTGGTGTAGTGGCTAGCATGTACGGCTGCACACCCGGAGGTCCTGGGTTCGAGTCCCGGGTCGGGCCAAGTTTAGTTATTGAGTCTTTCTGTATATTAAGCCTCAGTAACAGCCCGGAGTTGGGAAGTTGGAGGTGTTTCACTCCCGTGCCTCGGAGAGCACGTAAAGCCGTCGGTCCTGCGCCTTAACTCTCACTGGTCGTGTCGAGTGGTCGTCCCATCGGAGTATGAGAGTGACAGGAATAGAGAGTGCACTTGTGTCTGCGCGTACACTTGTGCACTATAATATCTCCTGCGCAGTTGGCTAGTCTCAATGAGATTGGCCGCCGTGGCCGGAATCGGTCAGGAGAACATCATCATCATCATCATTACTATTCCTTTTGGAGTTACGCTGCAATTAGCAATTTGAATACGTATTTACTATGACATCTATCTCTTTGTGGATATTGAAAATATTTAATTTTCTATTCCTGTTTATGATTGTGTTCTAAGCAAAAAACTTTTCTAACGGCATTTCAAGACTTACTTCAAGTATGACAAAGGTTTAAAGCTGTGTGATTGAGAGCATCCCTTTTCCCACGGCATGGCATTTACATAGCGCTCATTTTCCCCTTTCCCTTTTACCGTCCATATCAAATGTTTAAGCTGGTAGAAACAATCCTTTCACCATGCTTGTGATATCGGCAGTTGTGTATCACGTAGCAAATAAACGAAATTAACCTACATTCTGTCTTTAAATAAAACCATATAAGTACATTGAACACACGTGCAGTGTCACTACATCGGATGTCGTGTTTACTATCATGGGTTCGATTTGCGACTGGGTTAAATACCATAAACTTATAAGTTGCATACCATAAATTTTGTTTTTGCATAACATAATATGTGTCCACAATGTATTTTTACAATCCACCAAAAATGACAAAAATAAGAGATATCTAACCTATTGCTGATAAAATTTATATCATATAAAGTTGATTTAATAAAACGATAACGATTATATTGATCACTTTACTGCTGCATTTATAGCAACGGCTGTTATTTTTATGGCTCTCATATATTCATAGTTTAAAATAACAACCACGATTCAGTTATAAAATGTATGTAAAATAAGAATTATTTGCATTAACCGTTTTTATACGGAAAAGTGGCACAACTTCCACAAATTCGTACTCAATAAATATTGTAGTCTATACATATAATAAAATTGTAACTAAGCCGAATCTGTACATTCAATATTTTTTGGAAAA